TACTGTGTGGCCAGCACATAGTCAGACGCTGAGCACTCACTAGCGTCATTGCTGTGACCCTCTCCCCCGCTCTCTCTGTCACTGCCATGCCTGAGCCCTGGTGAGAGGGGCGCTGCAGAGGGCGGGGGTGCAGCATGAGCTCCCTGCGGTGCTGGGGGCCTGGGTCTGGCGCGGCCGACAGGAGTAGAGTTGACAGAGGTGGCGGGGATGTCCTCTCATTTGCCTGCCCGCCCTTCCTGTCCCGCTCCCAGCGCTGCCTGGACTGGAACCGGGACATCCTCAAGAAGGAGCTGGGGCTGACGGAACAGGACATCATCGATCTGCCCGCTCTGTTCAAGATGGGCGAGAACCGCCAGGCCAAAGCCTACTTCCCAAACATGGTGAGGCGCTCGGGACCCCACACCCCATCCAGGCCCAGCCCTGGCTGAGCTGCTGTGTGGCCTCCCCCACCCACCCCGGGCACTTGCCCTCTCTGGGCCTCATTCCCTCTGAGGGGAGACATCCTTGTCTCAGCTGCCTCGCTGGGCTCCTGGGAACCTTTATCTTAAACAGATAGGAAAGGGCTGTGTAGGTTCAAAGGGCCTCTGTGGACAGGGGATAGACAGGGGGGATTCTTGTTACAGAGAAGAGACTTCTATGAGATAGAGAAGAGAACACACACGTAGATACATGCACACGTACACACGCGTGCGCACCTGTACCTGTGAATACATATATACCTATACATGCAAGTGCTGATGTGTACATATATAGCCATGTGCACAGGCACGCACAGGCTCATACATACAGAAGAAGGTGGTCTGCTTTTCCACTTCAGCTCTGCCATGTATACGCTGCTTAGCCCCGTCCTGTTCCTCAGTTTTCTCATCCGTAAAGGGGGATAAATCACAATACCTGCTTCAGAGAGTGGTTGGGAGGGTCCAGTGAGCTTAGAACAGGGCCAGGTGTGTAGTAGGAGCTCACTAAACAGGAGCTAATGCCCTGCCCTCTGCCACAGGTGAACATGATTGTGCTCGGCAAGGACCTGGGCATCCCCAAGCCGTTCGGGCCCCCGGTCGAGGACGTGTGCTGCCTGGAGACTCACGTGCGCTCCCTGCTGGAGCCCCTGGGCCTCTGCTGCACCTTCATCGACGACATCTCCGCTTACCACAAGTTCCTGGGAGAAGTGCACTGTGGCACCAACGTCCGCAGGAAGCCCTTCCCCTTCAAATGGTGGCACATGGTGCCCTGACCTGCAGGGGCTGTTGTGGGCCGGTCTCAGCCCACCGACAACCAGTGCGGTGGCTGGGCCAGCCCTGCAGTTCTTAGGGTTGCAGAAAGCCCTTCGGCGATAGCCATCAAGAAACTTGGAAAAAAACAAAAAAGGAAAACATTTATAACATACAGGACCTGGAAATTACAAAGCACACCGGGGGCCACCCAGCGAGGCGGTGGGGAGAGAGAGGATGCACGGGCCCGGGGGTCTGCTCTTACTGGAGCCGAGGGTGGGGGCCCAGGGTTTCCCAGGCTTACTCTCTATCGGCAAATTTAAAACAAAAGAGTGGGGTGTCAAAGCATGGAAAAGGAAAAACAGGCTCCCCAAATGATCAGTTATCAAACTCAACCAAGATCTGTAAAATGAAGGAGCGTGCAGGGAAGCAGTCAGGTCTGTGGCTGGCAATGGGATTGTTGGCAGTGGATGCTTCAGCCAGGTGCGTGCATTATAAAAAATAGGAAACCCAGCTTTCAGGGCCATATCACAGGGGACGTGGCACTTCCGTCCCTTCCTGAGTTCTCCTCCAGGGCTTCCCTCTGCCTGACCGATGCACGGGAGACCTTCAGGAGCTGAGGAGGGATTTGGGATGTCTGCGCCTTGCCTTCCCTCGAAGACCCTCAGCACCCACTGAAGCCGCCCCCAGTGAGCCGGAACTCGGTCCTTCCTGAAAAACAGCTGGGCATTGGGTCAGTAGCAGCACAGCCCTAATATGAAAAACAAAACCAAACGTCACATACCCAAATCATTCCCCAAAGAAGCCTTCTTCTCTTGTACAAAATTGAATGAAGGTGAAGGGAAGGAGGTTCTGGGCTCACCAGTTCTCCTGGGAGCCATGCCCCAAAGGTCAATGTAGGTCACGTGGAAAGGGACCTTGGGACCCTGATGGACCTCCAGCTGCTTTTCATCCTTTCAAATTCACCCCCTCTGGGGTTCCAGGTGGTGGCCCCCATTATTCACTCCTTACCAGCCTTCCCAGCCCCTCGCCCCTTGGCTTTCTCTCTGCAGTGTTGACACATCAGCTAGCCCCGCCTCTCCCCCCCCCCCCCCCACACCGCATTCCCTGCGGGTCCAATAATGTTTCTTAGCACCTTCCCCTGAAGCAGATGTTATCAGAGCAGCTGTCTCCATTTTTGAGATGCTCCTCATGCCTCATCCTCCTCAGGGCCACAGGCTCTCCCAGATGCTTGGGGGTTTCTCCCCAGACCAGCATGCTTGTGGCCTGAGAGTTCAGTGTGCAAAGAAGCCCTGGGGTCAGCCATACCTGCCTTCTCTTGCCTGGTTCTCATTTCCTGGGTCTGTCCCTGACCTCCCGCCTCTCATGGTGCCTCTGCTTCCTATTCCAATACCAGGCCCTTGGGCAGCTAGACCGGGACTTTCTCATCACTGGACCCTCCCCCAGGACATAATTAAAGACCTCCCCAGACATCAGACCCATTCTGGGCTGGCTGCTGGCCTTAGGGATGGATCGATTATCCCATGGAAGCTCACCTGCGCATCTGCTGGAGACCCCCTCATTTGGACATAACCAACTGAAAAGGCTCCACTTCACCTAACAAAAGTTCCTTTAAGGCCAGCTGATGTCAGGAGAATGAATGAATTCCAATTCCACATTGAAGGTTAAAAAGAACCAATTCACAGCCAATGAAAAGATGATAAAGTTGTATTCTTGGGAGAAAGGGATTTTCTGCCCAGATTATTTCGTTCAGTCATTGAATAAACATGACTGAGTGCCAGTGCTCCTACTAAGTGCCAGGCACAGTGCTGGGTTCTAGGGATATAGTGGCTAGTCGCAGGCTGGACACACGGTCCCTGCCTCATGGAGCCAGTCAGTTCCCACCAGGCCACGCCCACATCGAAATAGCCAGTGTTACCCTTTCATGAAGTGCCGTTTAGAAGTGCCAGGCTGCTATACTCAGAAAACGCACGGGTCACGGAGCCTCCTGCAAGTCACTGTCTCAGTGAAATGCGAGGCAGGGGGTCCCCATGAAACAGACCTCCTTCCCATCCAGGGGGGCCAGGACCACCCAACAGATCAGATCCCAGAAACTTCAGAAGCCGTTGGGCCCCCTGTGGGGACAGTGGCCCCTGCCTTAGGGGGACAAAGCCCCACATCTTCTCTCCAACCCCAGAGCTGGAGACACCAAGTGCCTATTTGAGGGTGTTTTCTGGAGATTTAGAGTTTGTCGTGTGTGTGTTTGGTTAATGTGGGTTTTCAGGCTTGCTTTCATTTTTTTTTTTTTTTAGTCTATCTTCAGGGGAAGCAAATGCCTCCCATGTGGAGATGGTGTGTGTTTATAGGTTTTTCTGACGCTCTCCCCGTCGATAAGTCAGTAATTCCTGATGACTCTGGAACCTTAGGGCTCGGACACCCGCTCCCATCTCGTTTGCCGACCTGTGTGACTACCCTTTGCGTGGACGCCCCCTCTTCCCCAGCTCCATGAATTCTTTGCTCTTCCTCACCCCCCGCCACTTCCTACAAGTGGAGGCCTAGAATATACTTCTGTGTTGCAAAATTCAGCAAAGTTCCTCTTTCAATCTTTATTTTGAAATACTTTCTGTAGGAGGGCAGGGCTGTCATGAAGATGGCACAGTTTGAGGTTTCTGGACAAGAGGCCATGATGCAGATCAAAGATCGGGGGCGGGGGGTAAGAGCCTGATACAACAGCAATAAAATAAACGGGCAGATGGGAAATCACGTGGCTGTCGGTGTGATGTTCACTGCTGCTTCGTGGACACAGCCTAGGGCGATGCAGACCACACGCGGGCCTTCTGCTGGCTCCACCAACCCTGCTCCTCTGGGCACGGTCAGGGCTCTCGGCAAGCATAACTCAAGTGCTGGGAAATCCTCCACACACTCAGTGGATGTGTATTACATGGCCACCGCCCAAGGTCAAGACCAACACCCACTGTAAGGTCTGACTGTGTTTTTGTGAAATTCCCCAGAAGCAGACCTTGAGATGAGCATTTGAAAGCAGTGATTTATTAAGGAAGTGCCTCTGGGAGAAACCATGAAGGGAGTGAAGGGAGCAAGATGGAAAAAGGGAAGCCAAACAAGGCTGTGATTTCAGCCACAGCCTCAGCCTGCCCACCGGAGAGCTCGGAGGCCTACGTGGCAGCTCAGAGTTCTGGCATCTGGTGCCTGCACCAGTCGGTCACTGGCTATGAAAACTTGGCTCTCTAAATGGGCTCGCAGGCACTCCTAACCCACAGGTAATCATCTATAGCGGATCACGGTTGTAGCTATTAGCCACAAAGTCATAGGAGGTGGGGATGAGCTCACAAAATCAAAAGGGGGATCTGGGCGGCACACCAAATGCATCCACTGCTCTGGGTGATATCATGTTCTCATAATACGAAATTGTTACACACAGGTATTTGTGACTTGACCCATGGTATAAAAACCCATGTAACATAGTCATAGTATAACAGGCTCTTTGTGAACAAATTCCTGGGGCCCTAAAATAGAGCCACCTGCTTGCTTGCTGAGCGTAGAAGCCACTTCCAAGCTCTTTGGGATGCACCTGGTGGCTTCTTATTCCTTAGTCCCATCTTGGGCTTCTGGATCGATGTTTTGATGCAGCCATATTAAGAGGCCACTGCAAAACAAAAATCACTAGTTCTCTTACTCCCAGATTTAAGTCATGGGCCCAGCCGTCTGAGGTCACTCTTCTCTTTTATACCCAACTAATGTGGCCCAAGCCACAGCAAGGCCAACCTTCAACAGGGTTTCCTGACCCACCTATTTCTGAGAATCCCCAAGGGATGCTAGGGGGTCAAATCCATGCAGGTTGTGTCTTCACATTTGGCCACTCGCTCACCTCAGAATAGGTGAAAGCCAGCCAGAGACTTCTAGAATAGTAGTTCCCACTAGAAATATAATGCAAGACACATAAGTCATTTTAAATTTTCTAGTAGCCACATTTTAAAAAGTAAAAAACTGATGAAGTTAATTTTAATAATATGTCTTATTTCCAGATATATATCCAGAATATATCCAGATTATTGCCATTTCAACATGTAATAAAACTTTTTAAATATTTTTAATCCTCACCTGGGAATATGTTTATTGATTTTAGAGTGAGAGAAAGGGGTGAGAGAGAGAGAGAAGAATCGATGTGAGAGAGAAACATTGATTGGTTGATATCTATACACGCCCCAACTGGGGATCGAACCCGCAACCTGGATATATGCTCTGTCGAGGGAGCAAACCCACAACCTTTTAGTATACGGGACAATGCTCCAACTAATTAAGCCACCCGGCCAGGGCAAACTTTTTAAATATTAATAAAATATTTTACATTTTTTGGTAATAAGCTTTTGAAAGCCGATGTATATTTTACACTTACATCACATCTCTATTCAGACTAGTCAGACTGTACGTGCTCAATAGCCACAGATGGCTACCATATTGGAAGGCCTAGTTCTGGAAGCCTCTCTGCCAGGCTGAGCACCCTGTAGAAACAGGCACATTTCTTAAATCCCCAGAGTCCAGCTAGTCTGTCTGCAATGATCAACAAAAGTTTATCATTGTAGTACCAAAAAGAGACATATAAAATAAACACTGGTCCTCTCTGCCCTGGTCTGCAGGGCTTGTTCCCCCTAGAAGGTCCTCTTGCCTGAACCATAGCTGTCACTATGTTGCCAGGTCTGGCTTCCTTTTCAGCGAGGGGCGTGCCTGTGGCCAGTCAAAATGGAAACCCCACTAGCCATGGAAAGAGAAAACATAGCCCCCTCACCTGTAGCCTCCTTCCCTTCACCACTCCCTGGGACGCAGCTTGATTCTGCATTTTAATGTAAGAGGTTGTCTTGGGGTCCCCGGTGAGGGGACCTGAGTCCTCCTTATCCCAGCCCCTTCATTGCAGACCTGAGCCGTACCACGGCATAGCCGAAAGCCTATGGAAGTGGGGTTCTCCCCCCTCCAACTAAAGAACAAGGAGGGATGAATTCTGCCTCCCCAGAGGGACTCACCCAGGAGCCTCAGCCAAGTGGCATTAGGTCCAAGGGGCTGATGGCAGTATTTGTAACTAGATATAGTGAGTGACACCAAAGGACAATTTGCAGAATCTCTTCTCTAGCTGGACAACCAGAAGAAGGACATGCTCAGGCAGAAAGCTCAGCTCTGCAGCGTCGCCTCCAGCCTGGCCGATGGGAGAAGTCCTCCCCACGGCCAGCTGGGCCACTTTTCAGCCCTGACCTCTGAGAAGGCTCAGGGCCAGTCTTCTCCAGTCACGAAGAAAACTGCCAGGTTCAGGTCAAGCCTGCTTTGCCTCAGCCCCTCACGCTCTGCAAGCTGAGACCCACTTTATCACAGCTGTGGGCGTAGCCCAGGGTGACTCTCAAAGAACAGTCCCTGGCCAGGCCCAGGGCCCTGTTCACATGTTCCTGGGCTACTGATGTGTTAAAGAGATACATCGAACCCTTAAGAGGAACGTTTTGTGTTCCTCCTGAGGGCAATTCCTAGCACATCGTTGACGCTCAGCAAATATGTTTTGGATGAAAAGATGAAATGTCTGTTTAACCAGGCAGCAGAAGCAGAAATATCAGCCCAACCAGATGCGAGGTAATAATAACCACCATTTTTTAAACACTGACTACATGCCAGGCACCTGCCAGGTTGGACTATATGAAATGCCATTTTGAAGGTCAAAATGGTCAAATAGAGTGGATTTCATATGGCTCAGCTTAATATTTTACATTCATCATCTCATCTAATTCTCACAACAATGCTGCTGCGAGGTTCTTATCCTGCTTTACGGATGTGGAAACTGAGGCTCGGAGAGGACATGACTTGCTCAAGGTTACACGGCAAGAAATACGGGATTCACACCCAGGTGGTCTGACCAGAACCCACCTGCTAAACCCCTGCTCTTGAGGACCTCATCTTAGAAATAACTTCCTAACCAAGGTCAACGTCACCATTCTTTTATTCATATATGTTGTCTTTGCACCTGTCATTTTTTAACATACTAGAAGTCCTAGTAGAATCTTACAATAAGAAAACCCCGCTACCTATAAGCAAGATGTCTGGAGATTACAGGGTTCCTCTAAACCCCTCAAGGGCAGCAGAGCCCAGAGAGAAATGGCCTCTGCATAGCACACTATGTGCTCTGGAGGCTTTAGCTCAGAGTAAGATGGCATCTCTAAATTATGAAAATTAAATAATATTCATTTACCCATTCATTCTTTTTTTCATTAACATTTACTATAAGCATCTATTGTAGGTAAAACTAGGGAGATCATCTAATTTTTCCTCTAAACCACAGTGAAAGGGGGGACTACAAATAATTCCACCAGGCTAGCAGGTGAAAACCAGAACCACGCTGACAAACCAGGATGCCTGCTGTCCCCGGAACGAGACGTGATCTCGGCCCTGAAGAAACTATCAGCTGAGTCAGGGAGACAGACAGGACAGCAAAGAGGCAGACGGATGGAGTAGGCACTTGATAAATATTTGCTGAATGGAGAAGTAAATAAGGTACAAAAGGCTGTGGATTCACATACACACAGTTATTTCCAGCTAGGAGAAGGTGTTCATTTGGACTAGGATAGGTGACTGTTGAATGAACACAGGGACAAATGACTGGGGAAAGAAGGGAGAACGGGCTGCCAAGCTGAGTACAGATACAAAGGGGTGCCCTGGCTGGTGTGGCTCAGTGGACTGAGGGCCGGTCTGTGAACCAAAGGATCGCCAGTTCGATTCCCAGTCAGGGCACATGCATGGGTTGCAGGCCAGGTCCCTGATAGGGGGCACAAGAGAGGCACATTGATGTTTCTCTCCCTCTCTTTCTCCTTCTCTTCTCCTCTCTAAAAATAAATAAATAAGATCTTTTTTAAAGAAAAAAAGAAAAGATTGAAATTGACAATAGTAATCACTGCTGGGAAAGGAAGTATGCGTAAAGGGATTTAAGCTAAATTTATCTATGTTGTTTGAAATTTTTACATAGTGAGAATTTAATTACATATGTATTTTTAAATAATTGTTTAAAGCTGTCTGAATCCCTTGGCATCTTATTTATGCTGAAGTCTCCCCATCCTGATTAGCATAATCTCCTCTAATAATTCACAGTTCTTTTAACCTCTTTTCTTCCCCCAGTTGCGCTTCCTTCCACCAGTTTGAGATTCATAGCTTCTCAGATACTAATTCATTTGCTCCCTTCCCTGGGAGGTGACTATGATTCTTTTTCCCTTTTTCACTTTACACAATAAGAAACTAATGCACAGAAAGATTAAGTAACTTGGTCAAGATCACACAGTAAATGATTGATATATCAGGATTTGAACTCCCAAAAGCCTACACACTTTACCACCCCACCTCCCTGCCTCTCTAGAAGATCAACTTGCTTTCAACATTCTGCATTTCTCTGACTTGTTTTGTTACCTGTGGGCTGATATGTCACCACTACAGATGAATGTTTACCACTATTCCTCGTCTGCATTTCATTACATGGTTCTGTCTCTGATAGAAAGGGTGCTCAAAATGCAGATTCAGTGGAAAGGGAGTTTTATCATGTACTGAGTTTACAAAGCACACACCCATACACATCCAGAGGACCAAGTTAACCACTAATTTGAGAATATGCCGGTGATGTGGCAAGCAGATGGGAGTGACCCTGAGGTTAGCAGGGTGGCTGAGCTCATGTGGGTGCACGCTCGCGTGTGTTGCTATAGGGTCCAGCAACGTGATAGTCCCCAGAAGGCCCTGGGCCACTTGCTAAGTCCCAGCAGCTGAGCTAACTTCAGCTGTGTGAAACACAGCCCCATCTGGAGTAGGGGTGGCTCGTGACTTTTGCTCCGGGAGTTCCATAGAGTCTGCTCATGAAATTAGAGAAGCCTGTAGCATATGATTGTCCCCGTCCCACTCAGAATATTTTGAGAAGTCTAATTATATGGTGAGGTTTAGAGGGAAGAGGGTTCCAAGAGCAGGTTGGAAGGGCTGTCCAGGAGCTCTGGCAGTTCCATGGGGTGAGGGCGCCCTCTGCTGGTGAAATAAGGTGGCTGCAACCACTGCGTTCCCATTACTTTGGGCACATGCCCCCAGCACAGCCGTTTTCCTAACTGAAGATACTGAAGATACTGACCTCCTCGCTATGCGACGTCGTTGGTGGAGTTATTGACGCTCCTGGGGTTCAGTTGCCTCAACTGCAAGTGAAAGACAAAAATCCATACCTTGTAGGGTTTAGAGAGGGAAAATGTACCCAAAGTGCTCTGCAGAGGGCCTGGTAGGCACGAAGTCCTCCAAAGGTGGCAGCTCCATGTAGCAGCAGCCCCATCATCAGTGTCACCAGCATATTGAACAATAGCAAAGATGACCACCAGGTACCTTTACCAGGACAAAAAGGAACCAAGGTGATTGCTCCCAGGTCCCCTGACTAACTCAGTCCTCTGGTTTTTGCTGGAGAACACTGTCTTTACTTCAAATGTTGACATCTGTCATGGATTTTTGCATTTTTTAACTTGTTTAATATTGCATTAAAATATTATTTATCTTAGTGACCAAGTTTTCTGACCTTCTTAAATTCTGTGCATGCATCTTGCCCTGGTCCTGACCCAGATATTAAAGTTGCCTGAATCTCTACTGAGCTCCCTGCTCCCCTAACCACCCACCCCACCCCCAATCTCTCCTTTCACCTTCTACAAGGAACAGGGACAGCGCATCCTCTGTTTTTATTAACTCTTTCATTCAGCCAACCAACATCAGTGCACAGCTACTATGTGCTTAGTGCCAAGCCATCTTTGGAAACAAACATGAGTTTGTTCATTCACTGAGCATTTATGGGTCACCTGCTATGTGCCAGGTTCCGGGGGCACAGCAGTAAATAAGACACAGTTCTTGACCTCTGGTGTGGGAGATGAAGACAAAAAATATATGCATAAGGAACTAAAATTAAACTTGTGGATAGCAATAAATTCTATGAAGAAAATTAAGTGAATGGGCCATGCCCTCAAAATGCCCACAGTCTGGGAAGCCAGACATATAAATGGGTAATTGTTAAACCAGGGGTGTGTGCATTGATGACAGATACAGAGAATGCATTGATGAGGGTGGCAAAGGGGTGATCTCTTCAGGGAAGAGAAAGTTGAAGCTGAATCCTAAGTGATGAGGAGTTGGCCATACAGAAAAGAACTTTAGAGGGCACTTCAGATCCAAGGCTTGGAAACGAGAAAGGGCAGGGAGGTGAGGGAACAAGGAGGGAAACAGAACGGGTTTTATCACAAGGCAAGATGAGGCAGGAAGGGCCAGGGGGTGAGCCAGTCCTGGAAACCTGGGAGGCTATGCTAGGAGTTGGGGGTTGATGGCACGTGGCTGGGGAAGAGTCAAGGGCCACGCCCGGTTTCTGGCTTGGAGACTAGAGAGATGGTGCCACTAATAGGGAAGCTCCGAACTCCTCAGGTGATAGGGACAGTTGGGGGCAGTTTGAGTTACAGAGGCCCTTGGGACGCGCAGATGGAGATGCTCAGGAGATGGCGGGACAAAGGGAAAGGGTCACCCAGAGAGAAGGAACAGAGCAAGAGTGAAGGCAAATGGAACCCTGAATTTTGAATGAAAAGGCCTCTGAGTCCCAGCAGAGGGATTAATTGGAGTGAGGTGGGTTTTTCTCAGAGGCATAAATCACCCAGGCAACAAAATCATATGCTATCCCCCCTGAATCCAGCCCTCTGTAGCCCTCTGGCTCCGTGGAATCCAACCACTGTACCCTAAATCACAAGACACGAGAAGTAGAGCTGATTGTATAAACGGGGATGCTTTTTCTGGACTTGATTCCCGGCCCTTAGGGAAGAAAGAGCCCCTGAAGCAAGATTCCCACCCAAGATTGCTCATCTTCCTCATTATCCAAAGACTAAGAAAGTCTGTAAAGTGGGGGCAGTTAGTTATTCCAATCCAAAAGAGTTGTTATGAGGACCAAAAGAGGCTGTTTATATAAACACATTTGTAAATGACGACATTCAGCATAAACTTAAAGCATCTTGCAGACTGGTGAAAAGCAATACTTCAATCGCTAGATGAGTGGAAGCAAATAAAAAAACTTGGGTCTTATCACAAGGACACTTTGGGAAGATGTGTCAGGAGCTGGCCGTGAAAACCTCTAAATCTTTCTGCAGCTGTGCCTCTCTGGAATCCCAAAGTTCAGGGCGGAGGTACAGCCGTCCAGGAATTTATTCCTCCATAACTTTGAGCTCCTCAAATCCCCATGAAACCCAGGGTGATGTGACTGCAGGGTACGTGGGCCCTTTGGCACCGAGAGCCCCTTCATAAATCAAGGTCTCGATTCTGCTGGCCTCAGGCTGTTTTTTCCAAGGTGACCTAGGCAAAGTAAAAGGGTAGTCATTTATCTAGGAGTGGAATCTGACTTTGAGATTAAAGAGCCCTGGAAATGCCAAGAGGACCAGTTACTGGAAAGGGGACTGACCAGGAGCAGGTGTGTGGGTTCAGGGCCATGGTCTCCACTGATTGGTTGGTGCCAGGGCAGAGGGTCATTAGTCATTGCAACTGGTCCTGGTAATACCCACCTGGTTTTTCTGCTTTTCTGAGCCTGGGGTCGAAATACAGCTGAGAACTAGGTGTTATCTCTAGGGACGTGACCTTCTGTGTCTGGCTGTAAATTGCACAGCCAGTTTGTTCAGCTATCTGTCTGTTCCTTATTCCATCTGTCCTGGCTTACGGGACTCTCTCAGACCAATTCTCTAGATACATGTCCCTTGGAGAAAGAGAACACTCTTCCTTCATCTCAGAAGCCAATTTAGCCAGGAGAAGTTAGAGGGAGAACGACAGTGTTCCCGTGATTGTAGCCAAACTGCGTCGCCCAAGCGGCCCCTTCGGGAGACTCGGAGGAGCCCTCTTCCAGAGCTGGGTCAGCCCCAGTGAAAAATCGAGGTGACCTCAGCCCTGTCACCAGTCCACCCCAAGGCAGCCCTCGAAGACAGCCGTGTGAATCACAGAATCAGCTGGCCCAACAGCCTGATGACACAGGCAAGGAAACAATAGGCCAGAGACGGGAAGGGACTTGTCCAAGGTCTCCAGCCTTGAGGGGGAGATTCGGGGTTAGGCCCAGGGCACCAGGCTATCTCCCCTGGCCTCAGTACACATCTCCTCTGTGAGGCCACATGGCAATGTAGCCAGGTTCCAGCCCAAGGCTTCAGGAACTTAGCCCCATCCAACCAGTTTGTCTGGCCATCTTAACTTCTCCGGTAGCATCTAAAGGAGCTATGAGTATGGAAACCGAAGAATATAACAAGGTGTCCTTCATATGTCAAAAACAAGTGGGCAGAGAAGGAAAAACATCATTCCTGAGAAACACAGCTCCCTGCAAAGTTAACTACCTACATACTTAAATGTCTGAGGACCCTGATGAGACCAAGGGACTTGGAGGACTAGGGCCACACCCTGCCCAAGGTAATCAATCCTGAAAAGTGAGGCAAGCTCCACGATGACCCATACACGGGTCTGAAAAAAGGCAGCTCAGATACCTGAAATGGAGACAAAACACACAACTCTGTCTCACAGACTGTTGTGGGATTAAGGAATATGATGGATCGTAATATTTTACATAGAGTAGGTGTTTCTGATGCTAAATGGCTACCTAAGCCATAGAGAACTGAGTTCCCTTCTCACCCCTACTTCACAGAACGGAACTTAGGGTATTGTACACGTTCGGTTACTTGCGTATTAGTACATCCAATGAGGGCAATAACTGAGCCCGATTTACCCACTCACTGTAGCATCCCAGCACCTGGCACATAGCAGTATTTCACACATATTTTTTAATGAGTGAATGAATGAATAACACCTTTATCCGTCATCTTTGAAATCCCCTGGTTCATTCACCAACCCTCTCAGTTTGTCTGGGAATGTGAGGTTTCTCTGAACAAGGGACTCGGGACCCTCAGTGCTGAATCCCGGACAGTCTCGAGCAAACCGTACTGTGTCTGACAATGTCTGACTAAAGCCACCAAGCGGCAGTGATGAGTGATAAATTTTCAGAAAGGGCTTAAAAACAAGTCAGTATTCGGATAGGATGGTTCCTCCCACTTATAGTCTTAGTCCCACCCCTTCTATCGCCCTCCCTCTCTGACTCTGCCCCTCCTGGAAAGGTCACCTTAGAAACGTGGGGGTCCAACTGGGCATGCGCCGGGCCCTCTGCCACCGCGCATGCTTTTATTGGCTCTCGGCCTTCCCACCTCCCGCACGGGAAACCGGAAGCCGCTTCCCTCTCTGTGGCTCCTAACGCGACTAGCGGACCTTGGGTGGACGTTCGCCCGGCCCCCCCCGCCGCCGTTCTGTGCTCCGCAGGACGCCGGCGAAGAGCGACCTCGGGGTTAAGGGGCGGGGTTTCACGTCAGGAGCCAAGATGGCGGCGGTGGCCAGAGTGTCCTTGAGGGGCCGGTTCCCGGCCACAGCCCTTGGCGGAGCCTGCCTGCAGGTGAGGTCCGGGGTCGCAAGGAGAGGTCCGGCACGGAGGTAACGGAGATGGCCTGAAGCCGGGGATGCTGCGGAGGAAGGGGAGGGGGCGCAGGGCAAGGCCGCAGGGGGGGAGGAGACCGCTCCCACCTGCGCAGTGCTCTTGGTTGGCCTGGAGCATTCCTGCGCCTTGTCGCAGCCTGTGAGTTGGTGAGGGCGAAGACGATTTTTAGAAATAAGAAAAAAAAGAAGTTCAGAGAAGGACTCGAATGGCCCAAGGTCACATAGCCTGTGAGTGACAGATGGAAGCAAAACTCGAATCCAAACATCTGAGCTCCAAGTCCTTTTTCTGTCACCAAATTGCCGCCTCTGCGGGACTGTCAGGAGGGATAGGAACCTGAACGCGAGGTCACTCCTTCAGGATGCGAGGCTGGCGGCTCAGTCGAAAGGGCCTGGACCGGGACTGGAAACGGAAGGGGAAGTCTTTGGTTTGGTTTGGTTCGGTTTTAGGATGGAGCAGGGGAAGGGAGAAATGGAGGGACGTCCGGTCCCCTGAAGGATCTGAACCCTTTCCTACGGAGGGTGCTGCGGGAGGGAAGATTCGGTCCCTTAAAGCAGGGTCATTATCTCGGTGTCCCTGCCTGTAAAAGGCATATAACAAGAGCGACCTCCGAGGTGGGGCGCGGATCACCCCGGTGCAGAGCGGGCGCTGCCCTTCTTTCTGGGTTTCACTCGCTGTGCGGCGGTAGGTTTCCCACACCCCGCGTGGTGTCAGGGCACTGCACCCCTCTGATCTGCGTTCTGAAGGGGAATATTAGGGGCGGGGGAGTCGCCACTGCATACATAAGAGACTAAGAATTTCCAAGTCCTTTTCGAGTGTGTCCTTCTCGGCTCCTCGACCATCCCCGTAAGGTGGGCACGCGGGAATTCTTACCTCCTCTTGAGAGATTTGGAACTTCAGAAAGAAAACTTTTTCACTTGCCCAGAAGATCATGGCCAGGAACTGGTAGATCCAGGATCTAAACCCAGTTTTTTTTTAAAACATAATACGTGAGAAACTGCTAGCACAGATCTGGGCACATGGAAGGCATACAAAAAGTATTCGTCCCTCCACCTTTCTTGCACTTGCACGAGAATATCTGTCATTTTCAGTGCCTGCTCCGGCTTCATGGCACAGTGCATGTGGCCTGTCCTGTAATGCCGTGTGCGAACCTGGACAAGTTCGTTTTATGGCCTTTCTGAAAAGGGGAAATAGAGGGAGAGGGATGCCTACCAGAGACCAAGATGGTGTGTTCTGTGCATGAAATCGATGATGACTGATAAGGAGCTTGTTTATCAGTTCCTCTTGCAGTTGCTGAGCAAGCAGTTGCAAAGTTGTGAGAGCCCCACCAATGAGAGTGAGCTCTAAAGCTCAGCCCCCTCTTCCAAGAACGAATTGTGGCGAAGGCTAGTGCCACAGGCCAGTGTTGTCATTCCAGGTGAGGCCATTGTAGGGCGTCCTGGGGGGCAGAAAAATAGAAGAGTCCCGCTCCCCACCCCCTTGTAGGAATGTGCCTTCTCATCCACAAGAGCCACTGCAAAAGAATTCAGTAACAAGTTTGGTGTGTTACCTGTGGGTGGTATTCAGGTTCCTAGGACTCTAGGACGCAGTAGGACTTCTCTCCTGAATTTCTTTTATGCATTAGTCTGCACCATGGAACTACGGTTCTGCCTGTAAGTAATTAACTGGTGTTTGCGCTGCTTTATTTCTTCATCTAGACTATGAACTCTTTTAGGGTAAGAACCACCCACTTTCAGTTGTGTGTCTCATTGCTTCTAGCACTAGCAGGGCTTAGGATTCCTATCTGCCGATCAGAATAATACAAAAACTGATAAGGTTGTCCATATTGCGAAGCAGACGTTATTTTTCTGGGCTACAGTAGAAGCTGGACCCCTCCAGTTAGTCTTATGAGGTAGGTTTTAATAATCCCTACCCTTTAACAAAAGAGGAATTGGAATCAAGAGAGGTTGACTAATTTGCCAAAGAACACAACATCTACTAAGTGGTAGAGCTTGGATCTGAACTTTGTTGCACACATTTCAGAAAGAAGTCTGCACCTTCTGTTTCACTCAGGTGTATACAGACCTCCTCGCCCTCCCCCTCCCTGTCTCCACGCCTTTCTCGCCTGCCTCCGAATCTGCATCTGCGCTCTCTAGCCCCAAGACTGCTCCTTAAGGAATCTTTCCTAAAGGAACTGCAAGCAGCCTTCAGCATGAATCAGAATGCACCCTCCTCCTCCTCCTCAGTTCAGTTCAGTTCAGTCCAGTTGTTGATTATCTTGCTTCCTGCCTTAAATTATAAACTGTTAAGTTAATCTTTTCCAAGCTTTCCAGAAAGGTGCGCTCAGCCTTGAGTACTCATTAGTTTTGTGGATTGAAATAGAAATGCTTTTGAAGAAACCTCCTCTGTCATGGGTTTATAGTAAATGGCTAGAGAGGCAACAAAAGACAAAAAGCCTCAAATGTTTGCCCCCTCCCTGCTTTGGCCCCGAGGTCCTCCTTTTCTTCCGGTCACTGTGGGGAACGGGCAGCACCCCTCTGGCTAGCCCTTCGCTCGTCTCCTGTGCCCTGCCGCTTACTCAGAGATCGCTCTCCAGTCCTTCTCCCCTCTCCGCTGCAGCGTCAGTTTTTCCTTCTCAGATCACAGCAGCGGCATATGAGCATGCAAAAACAAAAACAAAAAAACCAAAAGCAAGCCACCCCATTTCTCTACTCATATTTATATAAAAACTCATGAGATATCTGAACCGACTGACCAAAATTCGTCTCCCATCTTCTCGCAAACCTATTCCGGCCAGGCTTTCACCCTCACGACCTCTCTGAAATTGCTCCTGCCCAGGCCACCATCGACCTGGGCTTTGTCAGTTCAGTGGTTGCTTCTCAATTCTCCTAAGACTTTTCTCTGAAGCATTTGTCCGTGTTCACGCCTTCCTCAAAACCCTTCTTCCACGTGGCTTCCAGAACACCCCAGCCTCCATCTATTCCTCCTCGCACACGGGCTGTTTTTTTCCTTTTACTGACGTCTCATCACCCCAAAACTTAAACACTGGGGCTTCGTTCTATACGCTCCCTTGGCCTTTAGCTACCATTCACTTGTCCATGCTTCTAACTCTTCCCTTTATACCCCCAGGCCAGACCTTACCCCTCGCCTCCAGATTCAGTTATCCACCCAGTTACGTTCTCAGAATCTCTACATGGCTGTCTAATAATACAGCATAAACTTGGCTTGCCCGCAGCCCAAATCCTGACGCGCCCACCCACCCACCACACTTAACAACTTGCTCCTCCCATCTCAGTTGATGGCAGCTCCATCCCTCATCTCTGATTAGGGTCAAAAACTTTGGAGTTGTCATCCTTGCTCCTTGCTTCATTCTCACATCCAATCTGTGAGCAAATCCTGTCAGTTCCTTCTCAAAATGTATTGAAAAACTAACCACCTCTCACCATTTCCATAGCTACCATCCTGCTTCAAGCCACTGGCATCTCTCAGCTGCTTATTGCAGTTTCTTCTTAACCTGTATTTTTCTTTTATCTTTGCATCTCTACAGTTGGCCCTTAGAACAGAAGCCAGAATGATTCTTTCAAAACTTGTCTGACTTTGTCACTCCTCTGCTCAAAACTTTCCAGTGATTTCCCATCTTACTCAGGGGAAGAGCAAAAATCCTTTCAAGGTCCTACGTGATCTGGCTCTGCCGTTCCCTTCCCGACTTCCTCTCCCATTCCTGTGCCTCTCTCTCCACGCTCAGCCGCGCCGGCTGCTTTGTATGGTCCTCAAACAGGATCGTCACGCTCAGTGCCCCCTCTGCCTGCTTGGTTCTTCCCCCAAGTACATTTGTGTCTTGCTTACTCACCTCCTTCAGGTCTTTGCTCACCTGTCTCCTTTTCAGTGAAGTTCTCCCTGGCCACACCATTAAGAATTATAGACTTGTAGCCAGAATCCCCACCCCCCTTTCTTCTCTCCCTTCTGTAACACGTGTCAGCGTTTGACATACTAGAGATTTTGTGTGCATCTCCTCCGCTCACTGTGTAAGCTCCATGAGGGGGGGAATGTGTGTCTGTTTTGTCCATGATCCCCAACGCCTAGAACAGCCCCTGAACATAGTAGCCACTCCGTAATTATTTATTGAACAAGTAAGTGAACGAATGTGTTTGGGACATCTCCCACCAAGATCTTGCAGGTTGTATGGATAGAGTAAGAACTTCTTTTGTTTTGGGGTCTGTTTGGGTAAAGATATTCTCTCTTTATGTTGTTCTGTTTTGGATTTGCATTTTCACCGCTGGTATTGAAGCTAAAACATTGGGCGTTGGAGTCAAATGACCTATGAATCCTGGCTCCTTGGTATATGATCTTAGAGAATAAAAAAAATTTCCTTGCAGAGATGTTGTAAAGATTAGAGATGATTGAGTACAATGTCTGACACATGACAAGGGCTCAGTGAGTGAAAGCTGTTGTTATTTCTGCTGTGAACACCGACGGAACAAATGTTTAGGTTTCTCTATTCAGGGAATGTATTAAAATCCCTGCTGCCGTAACGCTGTGGATTAACTTCAGTGCAGCCCTCAGGATGAGAAAGGTCCATCACTTGTAGACCCAAAACCTCCGTGGTCGTTTTGATTTCCATGTCTTCTCTCCTCATTCCCTTTAACTCCTCCACGTGTTGTATAAAATATGTTTTTAACTCAAAATGAATCTAAATTAATTGTTCTGAAAAATAGTGATACTTTGGGTACCCAAAAATTTATGTTAGAGTTTATTGCCTGATACTCTGCTGTGATGCATTCTTGCATTGCTACTGTCTCACATCATTCATATCACTAGTCTGTTTTAATGGTTTTTAAATAAACATCACACCTTTTGGGAAGGTCTGCATGTCTAGTCAAGATCTGCTTGTCTTTGCAGAGAGAATACGAAGTGAACATTTAAGTGTCGGAAAGTGGTGTTAGAGTGAGGATGCGTGGCAGGGAACCCTGGTCCTCTCCGACAGGCTTTGTGAGAGTGAACCTGAGCTTGATCAAGCCAGGTGCCTGGGTCCCGCTGATAATAGTATTAAATCAGGCTTTGAACCATAGCTGACAACCCTAAAATCCCAGGCTAAAAATTTGAAGGAGTTACACACATATATTTTAAAAGGCATTTTGGCCCTGGCTGGTGTGGCTTACTGGATTGGGCGCCAGCCTGCAAACCAAAGGGTCGCCAGTTTGATTCCCAGTCAGGGCACATGCCTGGGTTGTGGGCCAGGTTCCCAGTGCAGGACGCATGAGAGGCAACCACACATTGATGTTTCTCTCCCTCTCTTTCTCCCTCCCTTTCCCTCTCTAAAAATAAATAAATATCTTTAAAAATATATAAAAGGCATTTTGTCCCTCTCTTCCTACTGTCTCCCTCAGCACAGTGACCACCCACTCTGAAAGCAGTTTGGCAGTTTCTTATAAAAACTAAACATGCATCTACCATATACCCAGCAGTTACCCTCCTGGGCATTTGTTCCAGAGAAATGGAAACTTAAATTCACACAGAAGCCTATTCACAAGTGTTCATTACAGCTTTATGCGACAAAAACTGAAAACAGCCAAGGTGTCCTTCAGTGGGTGAATGGCAAAACAAACTGTGGTACATCACAAAGTGGACTACTACTCAGTAATGTAAAGAAACAGCTATTGAGCCACACAGCAGCTTGGCTGGGTCTCCAGAGAATTATACTGAATGAAAAAAAAAAGCCAATCCCAAAAGGTTACCTACTAGATGATTGCATTTCTATAATATTCTTGAAATGACAAAATTAGGGAAATAGATTCTGAGGGCGAGGGCAGCGCCAGGGCCGTAGGTGCGGCTGTAAAAGAGCAGCGCTGGGACCTCTGTGGTCCTGGCGATGTCCCGGATCTCGACCCTCAGTGCTGGCGTTCCGGCTGGGACAGCGTGCAGTGTTGGCGTTCCGGCTGGGACAGCGTGCCGCAGTCTTCTACGGCGTTACCACTGGGGGACATGGAGTAAAGGGCGTGTGGGATCTCAGTATTATTTCTTATAAATGCATGGATTCTACAACCATTTCAAACTTTTACTTTTTAAAAAGCAACAAACTGGGTGTACCCAACAACATGAATAAATCTCAGAAGTATTAAGTGAAAGAAGCTAGGCACAGGTGTACTTGATAAGAAATTGTGTAAATTTTGCATCCCTCTGTAGTGATAGAAAGATCAGTTGTAAGGAGTAAGGAGAGGGCACTGACTGATTGTAAAGGAACACTAGAGGACTTTCTGAATAGAAATGTTCTGTCACATATGTGTGATAGTTATACTATTTTATGAAAACTCATAATATTGGTCATGTGCCCCATAACATTTTGGTCAATGACAGACGGCATATACAATGGTGGTCCCATGAGATGAGAACATAACTGAATTTCCTGTAAGAAATGGAAGGATACGTGGTTCAGGAGGTTTTCTTTTTCTCTCTGACGGGAGCAGTGTCTGTGGGGCTTGACAGGAGATCTCCTCTCGCTCACAGCACCTCCATTCCGAGGGCACAAGTCACCGCCCAGGCCGCCAGGCGCTGACCTGCTTGGCACAGAGGCACCCGCTCCCCGCGCTGCGTGTGCAGAGGGCGCGGCAGGCCTCCCAGACCGGCCCGGCGGTCCCCAGAGAGCAGGCTGC